CTACCTTGCTGGAATATTTCTAAAAGTGGCTTAAAACCAAACTCACTCACTCATTCACTTCTGTCATAACAGTAATAAGCTTTGCAATACCCAAGTTAGTCATTGTATAATAGCTGCGCGTTTCCTTTTATTAGAGTTGAGCCTGTAGAATAAAGGGAGGTAATAAGTTGTAATCCTGCTCAGCAGAAGTTAATACATGTACAATCCCCACTTCCATCTCAAGTTCCACGTCCACTGTGCTCTGTTGTGCAAAGCACCAGCAGTAGGATTATATACCTAATGAATTATGTTAATGGCTAAAGAACTAGCTTATTGATGTGGGTCAGCTGTTATCAGCAATGTAAATATTATTTGATACTTCCCCAGCAGTGTGATATAACAGCAGAGCGGGGTGTTGGGGATGGTAGGATACCATTAGCAGTGTTTGTATTGGGAAGTGCTGCATGTTATATGGTCTTTTTACATTCCCTATCAATATTACCTTGATTACGCCAGGATAATGGCTTTATCACAATCATTTCTTTCTGTAAAATAAATTTATCACAACTATTTTGGGGGGAGGGGGGACATGTAAAAAATGACTGTTCTGTTATATTATTATTTTCAAATATATAATTCATTACCTTGACAATACCCCCCTCAGAGTACCCCTTTAATGTCTTTGGGAGAACGTTTCAATACATCAGCGCTACACTGAATTCGTTCCTTCCTATTGACTGGTCATTTTCGATAAATCAATGATAGTTTCCCCCAACAATACCACACATACCAGTTGCCAAGGATATTCACACCACACAGGTCACATGAGTGGCATGCGATAAAGTTCACATTCGTGTCCTGTCAGATAGACATTGTTGTGGGCAGTTCTGCCTTACTGGTCTCTATGATGTCCTCTTAAAGGGAGATAACTACACGTGTCCCACCATTGATAAGTGCTTAGTAACACGATCCGTATGAGCAATTGCACACACAAAGAATATGAATGGCTGTCACGACAAATTGTTTTGTTATTGTGCTGTGAAGCATTGATTGTGTTCAGAACTTGATTTTGAGATTTGATTGCAGGAAATATCTAAGTGTTTTCAATGGCCCTTTTCAATTGAAGGTGATATATGGTGTGACCATATAGTGATTAAGGCCACGCTTTTTATGTTTGATAGTGTTTGTTTTTCACATAACATTGAACTTGGGTCGTTGAAGTAAAAGTTAATATGATTAGTAAGAGCTTGATTTATTTGTCATTGGATAGGTCATTTAAGTGCAAAAAAGTAAATGCTATTTTCGGCCATGCCTCCTTTGTTTTCATATATTAGGGAGATAAGGGTTAGGATCCAAGGGTTGGTTAATATCATGAACCAAAGTTTGCTCGTACACCAGCCTACAGTGAATAATTGCTATAGGTTTGCAACTGTAGATGAAGACAATCTGTTGCTGGTAGATATGCAATGAAAGAACTGGAAGAAGTATTCTTTCAAAGGATTGTATACATATTTCAAGACTTGATATAGAAATGTTTTTAAACTTTCCAGATAATATCATTTGCATGTTTTCTGATAGAGACAACTTGGATAAAGATATAGTGGCTATAATGTGTGAGCGGGCCTGGGTGTCGATATGTTTTGTAACTTCTAGCCCAGTTTCTAGAACTGTTTCATAACATTTGAACTCTTTCACATTAATCTAGCCTTTAAACTAAGGCTTGTGTGAAAATATGAAACATGAGGAAACAACAGATCGAAGTCCATGAATCAATTCCAGTTAATTTTATACCTCAGTATGTGTTATGGATATATTTACATAGAAACTGTATTGACTGTAGTTAGCGCCCTGATCCAGGAAGCGCCCTGATCCAGGAAGCGCCCCTGACCAACCTCTAGACCAGTCTGTAAGTAATCTTTACAAGCGCCCCTGTATACAGAACATTAAATGACAGTCCATATTACACATTTCCTTTACAGAAAACAGCACCACACAAGGAATATATAATTGCCTGGTAGGGCTGGGATGGATAACTCGGGTACCCGGGTCGGGTGGGTACTGAGTAGGACCCGGGTACCCACAGGACTACCCGGACCCGTGGTTAGTCACGTGATGTATTGTTAATTAATGACAAAAATTATCTGGAACTCTATGGTTACACTATAGTCACAAATGTTCGCATTCCGTCTGACTTTTCATATCTTTGAATAAAGATATAACTTGAGTCAACTTCAGTGTATGAATGACCAGATTGTTTAATACATGTATCTAAATACGTTTTGCCAGTGCTATGGTAATAAAATGCCCAATCGGACATTTTGTACCTATCTCTTGAAACCTACAGTGGGTACCTGGGTAGGGTCAGGTAATAGGGGGGTGGGTACACGGGTGTAACTTCGGACTCGTCCCAGCCCTATTGCCTGGCAACAAAGTTTGATCACTCCTGCTAGATCTCTGAAAATAACAATTTAACTCCTCGTGAATGGTTTTAATAAGCGACCCCTATATATATGGCATGTAAAACTTCCTATGTCCCAGATCGCAGAGAAAGAGAGACAACTATTATCTGGACATATCCGGGAGTATATTGTTGCAGCAGGTTGACTACACTAGGGCGGAACGATGACATACATAGCAAACCAAAAATAAACATTGCAATCAAGTGCTAGATTTAGTGCTTCTCACCAAGTATTGAGTCAAGTGTGGTTAGTTTACACAAGCTGTTCTGGCAGTTATGACAGTCGCCATCTGTGTATGAAGGCGTCTCTATTCTTAGAAACCTATGAAATAATCTTATGATTTAGAGAGAAACTCTGCTCTCCCATGTGGTGATATTGACACCAGAGTTACTACAGTCATGGTGAATACTTTACACTGCACACTTCCTTTCAAAGGATTTTACCATACCCCTGGCAGAATGATGAGATCTGATTGATCCATGTGATCTTGATAAAATACTATATATTTATACCACCATGGAGGGAAATAAATCCCTTATACCCCGCCATGAACAAGACAGGTTGCACATGGATTTCTGAGAGGCAGAATATATCCCTTATACCCTGCTTCGAAGCCGCACGCTTTTTCAAAGTCAATGAAAGTCATGTGACAAAGTACAAGTAAACCTCAGCTCAGTTGAACAGCCATTTTTAATCAATTTTGAATTTCTTTTCATTCTGTTACAATGTCATACAAAAACATGTCGGTAAGAAAAATTTGTTGTAGCAAGATCACGAGGGGTACATGGGGTTTTATGCATCCCTCGGTAGACTTTATACCACTCGCCTCCAGCTCAAGGTATAAAGCCTAACATGGGACACATACAACCCCATGTACCCATCACAATGCTACAACTTATTGTGATTACTCAGGTACCAAAACTTTGAACCTTTTATAATCTTTGTTGGTTGATCTATCCCATTGGAAAATGCCTTATTTGGAATTTCATAATTAATGGAAAGTTACATCCCATGTCAAGAGAAGAACTGTATTATTCAAGTGAACTGTTGCCACTCAGTACTGTGTCATGGAATTCTATAGTCTTGGTGTTGTTGTTTGCAGATTAGGTTTACATTTTGAAGGTAATGGATAGTTTCTTTAATATCATGACAGATTTTAGAGTGAGAGTGAGAATATCCTGCCCCACCGGTGGCACCAGTTAGCCACAAATGATAAACATCTTTGAATAGGTGTTTGTTTAATATAATTAAACCGTCAAATCATGATATGGATATTAAATTGGATGCAAAAAAAATATTAAATAAAATTCAGTAGAAAAGGAAGTATGCCCCCTAAGCCTCAATTGAATGAGTGAGTAAGTATGGTTTAACTCCGCTTTTAGCAATAATCTTGCAATATCATGGCAGTGAACACCAGAAATGGGCTTCATTACCTTCCCAAGCATCAAGTTAGATATATATAAATAAACTGTGGTCATCTGGTACATTGGAATATCATTTACTTACAAGGATAACACTGGAATGTGAACTGTACCGCGGAACATCCCACTTCAATAGCTAGTCTTGGTTCAGCATCACCTAGTCTCACTGTAGGACTCCATGGGGTAGAAAGGATCAATGTTTGAGAACGTAGTGATATCAATTTGATATGGATGATATTGATCTGACACCCAGATGCGCACTGTCAATGTTGAACAAATTATTTTCAAAGAATATGATTTGAAACTAATGGTTGCAGAAAAGGTCATGAAAGGTTAAACAAATGCTTCCCTCGTTGTGTTAGTTATTAAAAACATTCTGTGTGAACTGTTCTTTTCAGGGCAATCCTTTAATTTTTGGTTTTACTTGGTAAAAATATCCTGTTTTTATCATTTTTGAGTGGAAATCTTTACTGTCCAGATTTTATCAAAACCTTTATGTTTCCTTGCCTACAAATGCACCAAGTTCCTTCCCACCAGTGTGTGACACCTTCGTTAGACTCTCAGTCTCGCTTTGACTCTTTCTCTCTCTCTTAGACTCTCTCTCATTTTCTGTCTCTCTTTGACTCTCTCTATGTGTGTGTTTCTCTCTTAGACTCTCACTCTCTCTCTCTCTCTTAAACTCTTACTCTCCCTCTCTCAGTCTCGCTTGGACTTTTTCCTCTCTCTCTCTCTCTTACTCTCTCACTTTCTGTTTCTCTTAGACTCTCAATCGCTCTGTGTCTCTCTCTTTTCCTCTCTCTCTCTCTTAGACTCTCTGTCTCTCTCTCTTAAACTCTCACTCTCCATCTCTCTGACTCTCTTTGACTCTTTTTTTTCTCTCTCTCTCTGTTAGACTCTCTCCCTCTGTTAGACTCTCTGGTAGACTCTCTCGTCTGTTTCTCAGGTGAACATCTTGTTGCTGTGAGTGCAGCATATAACAAAAAACACAAGAAACAGTGCTCTGGAAACCAGAGATCATCAATGATTTGCTGAAGTACAAAACAGTTGCCACACTCTTGACCAAGATTGGGATGTCATCTGACCTTAAAGATATGTTATTTATATATATTTCTCTGTTTTAACATACTTTGTTTAATTACAGGTGTCAAGTGTCCGGCATGGCATTGACAACAGTCCTCCAAAGCGATACCCCCATCTCATACTTCGACTTAAACAAATACAGGTAAGAATAACTTTTGACACTTACATCTTTTGTTTGTAGAGTTGATTTTGAAGTATTCATGCAAACTGTGTGAGAGAAAGTGCTACCGGTATGGCAGGACATGCTTACCCCTAACTCGAACACCTAGTGTCACACAGATTTTCAGTGATCCATTCATATGTTGGGGGCACGGGTGGCCCAGTCATCTCAGGCGCCGCGATGCAGGGTTGTGTCCCTTGAGCATGCCAGAAACCTATGATTGTGGGTTCGAATCCCGGTTCGCCCCGAATATGTTTCTAGGTGTGTCAGCACCATACCCGTGCTCATGGGTTTCACCGAAGTGGTAAACGTCTGAGACCTGCATCACTTCGGGCTTTCCTCCCACATTAAGCTGACACACCGCGATATAACTGGAATACTGTTAAAAGCGGCGTTAAACCCAACTCACTCACTTATATAATGTCCACCACTGTTTTGCCTTATACGCCCAATGGAATCTGTGTTGTCAGATTATTGATACTGCTTATTCTCTTGCATTGGCGTTTTGTATAATGTTGATATATAGGGATGTAGTTGGGACAAACAGTTTTGGGTTGAATGTATTTATGTATCATGTAATATAGTCTATAAGGGCATGTTATGAAAGTCATGATTTGGAAATACACAAGAAAATATTATGATGTTGCATTAAGGGGTTGATATGAAAATGAAACACTGATATGAGAGATTAATATGAATTTGCTTCAGGATACATTATGTAATATGGGGTGAGTGAGTGAGTGAGTGAGTGAGTTAGTATGGTCTTACGCCGCTTTTAGCAATATTCCAGCAATATCACGGCGGGGGACACCAGAAATGGGCTTCACACATTGTACCCATGTCGGGAATCGAACCCGGGTCATCGGCGTGACGAGCGAACGCTTTATCCACTAGGCTACCCAACCGCCCCTTATGTAATATGGATCAAGGTAGTGTGAAAGTACTTGGGGAAAATACAATATTGTGCTAGAAGATTTAGGAAAAATCACTGTTGCAGTAAAGAGTATTTAAGGAAACAATGCTGGTCTATTGGATTGATGTAAAGAGTATTTAAGGAAACAATGCTGGTCTATTGGATTGATGTAAAGAGTATTTAAGGAAACAATGCTGGTCTATTGGATTGATGTAAAGAGTATTTAAGGAAACAATGCTGGTCTATTGGATTTATGTAAAGAGTATTTAAGGAAACAATGCTGGCCTATTGGATTGATGTAAAGAATATTTTAAAGACACACAATTTGATAAGAAGTTGAAATGAAAGGTTTTGGAGGAAGCACGATGGGTTTTGATTTAATCATGAACTCCAAATTCATGAACTTGTAGACTTGATAATTAACCATTGTTTGTAGTAACATGAAAACATGGCCATCTCATGAATTAATGATGTTGTTGTCCATGGTCGTTGTTTAGTATACACAGTGAGTATTGATCGGATCACTCCACACACTGTGCTGTACATTATGCGCCCCCTCGTAGGCACCTGACTGGACATAAAATCTGATCAAGTTCCTGTGCTAGAGACCACTTCAGCTAAACTCCACACTGTTCACTGTACTTTATGTAGGTAGTCATGTATGTTAGAAACCACTTGAGTTGAGCTCCGCACACACTTAAACACTTGTATCGTATATCCCTGTATATCCCTTGTCGCAAAAACTACTCAGTCCCTCTCTTTGGTATGGCTGTTAGGTCAGGGACGGGTAACTCAGGTATCTGGGTCGGGTAGGTACTGAGTAGGACCCGGGTACCCACAGGACTACCCGGACCCGTGGTTAGTCATATGATATATTGTTTAATGACAAATATTATCTAGAACTCTATGGTTACACTACAAGTCACTAATGTTCGCATTTCTTTCTGACTATGCACCCATTCCTCCTGATTTTTCATGTGGTTGAATAAAGATATAACTTAATTCGACTTCAGTGTATGAATGACCAGGTTGTTTAATACATGTATCTGAATACATTTTGCCAGGGCTATTCTAAACATTTCCCAATCAGACATTTTGAGACATCTCCTGAGACCTACAGTGGGTACCTGGGTAGGGTCGGGTAATAGGGGGGCAGGTACCCGGGTAGTAAATTTGGACTCATCCCAGCCCTAATGGCTGTTATGGTCCCAAAGTGTCATTTTTTTGTCAATCAAATACTAAAATACTTATTATGTTCAAAATATCTGCAATCCATGCCTTTTTCAGCCTTCCTCAAGAATAAAGATTATTTAAGAATTGGCCTCAATATTTTCTTGCATTTTATGGAGGTATGAATGAAAAAATGGTATGCACACTTTGTAAATCCATATACTGTAAATCGTGAAATTAAGGCATCTCCAAAAGAATGCAACCGCTGGTCCCTAGCCAAAGATGCGACTCAATATGAATGCAACACCCCCTCCTCTCAAGCATCAGTGGATTTATATCTAGAGAAAACGTCCTCTCACTCACTCATAGGGGTGGTTGGGTGGCCTAGTGGTTAAAGTGTTCGCTCGTCACGCCGAAGACCCGGGTTCGATTCCCGACATGGGTACAATATGTGAAGCCTATTTCTGGTGTCCCCCACCTTGATATTGCTGGAATATTGCGAAAAGCAGCGTAAAACCATACTCAGTCAGTTACAGGAGAATCCTCACTTTAATCCAACCTTACATTAATCGAATCACACACCAAATAGCACTGCTTATTAGCACAGAGTAGAGTACTTCCGCTAAAACAATACATGCGTGCTGGCTCGTGTCGGCCTTTGACGCAGTCGCAAAGAACAAAGACACCGTGTTGCATGGGTGGCGTCTGTCTGGACTTGGCAGGTGTTATCAGTGATGACATAGAACTCTTTGTCTTGACCCCAGTAATGACAATTCACAGGATGTAATTAGTGTTTGAATGACATTGTTTATATACTTGCTACAAGTGCTGCTCAATAAACGTACAGTGATGTGGAATACATAGGTAGTTGTTTGTTTTCAGCGTATGTCTAAGTTGGTATTTCTGCTATCCAAAATGTCTTATTGTTGATATAAATGCGATGTTTAGTTAAGCGAGCAAAGACCACTCGCATTTTTCGCATTTAATTCATGCTCGCGTTAATTTCAAGATTTACAATACCTGGTGCATTCCAGTTTTTACATTTCCTTAAATGCAAATATATGTTAATGTCAATTCTCATAGAAATAAGTCAACAATAATAACTTCACAGATTGCATATTTAATCAGTAACACACAAAAACTGTCGACAACGATAATAACTCAGTGACATCGTTCAGCCCAATCACACATGCAACACAAGCCAATCACACATGCAACACAAGCCAATCACACATGCAACACAAGCCAATCACACATGCAACACAAGCCAATCACACATGCAACACAAGCCAATCACACATGCAACACAAGCCAAGGAAACAGAGGAAATGGTCATCCCCACGTTGGCGTGGCCTAATGTTTGTTGTGTTTATGGAAGCTAAAACACAAAAATTATTGCTTGATTAGCCAATCAAATGCCATGGAATAACTTGCAATTTATTGTGATATAACTGATGTAACACTGGAGCATTAGACCTCACTCACTCACTCACTCACTCACTCACTCACTCACTCACTCACTCACTCACTCACTCAAATACATTATTATCTCAAATAAAAGGGTTTTTTTCAATCACTTTCGTTCACATAAAAAAAATCCTTTTATCACTGGCATGTCGTTTCCTGCGAGAATGTTTATCCAATGTTGATCAATTGTTTGCTTCTTGTGCTTGGTAAACACACTGAAGAGGTATTGACCATCATCGCTGCTGTTTTTCCTGTGAACCAGGCTCCTATCTAGATCCAATGGCCCAGGTGTTTACTTACCTGTCTGCTTGAAGAATTACCTTTGTTCTCCAGGATCCATTGTCTGTTCCCCGGTGGTCTGACATGGTGTCGAGCAGTGCAATAGAATGTATAAACAACAAATGAATATATACGTCCAAGTCGGAATAATTTCATTGTGTTTCTCATAAATAGATGAGTAGCATGGTGATTTCTTTTCTCAGTTTGTAAGATGTTGATCAATGTGAACCAAGTCTATAATAAATCAATGGCTTGTGTTTTAAGATGCTTCTGTTTATGAGAGTTATAATGGAAAGTAGAAATGATCGATTGCTGATGAGTTGGGTTGCCGCATTGAGTGAGCAATCATTCAACAGCAGAGATTCTGCTGCTTATAAGTAAAGAGTGAGTGAGTGAGTTGGGTTTAATGTCGCTTTTAACAGTATTCCAGTTATAAAACCTTTTCCATTGATTTTGAAAGTTATCAGATGTGTTCCTGTCAATGGGAATTAAACTTTGATGATTTTAATAATTTTAGAAACATCATCCTGGGTCACGTTGTTAGGTGACGTCATTGGGATAAGGATAGGTGACGTCACTTTCAATAGTGATGTCATCTGGTTTGTTCTATGAAGTTTCCATATCTGTGAAAGTGGGTCAGTGAAATTCATGCTGATTGCACTAAATGTTTCAAAACTGATATTGTTGTTTTTATTTTTTTGATAACAAATTCTATCCATTTTAGCTATGATAACGGTAACTTCAGGGCATTATCATTTGCAGAATCCCTCAGTCTTTTTATCTACCCTCGTTCTGCAAATGGTAATGCCCTGCAAAATAGGGTTACCCTTATATTATAGGGGAGGGAGGGGCGGTAAGATGAAGGGGGTTATGAAAAATCACAACTGGGGGATCTGCAAAATATGATACAGTCCTCTGACCCTTCTCCCCACCACCCCCCACCCCCTGTATTAAATGACCAGTGTGGTATACTTATGTATGGGGTATCTATAATTGGGAAAATCCATACAATGCATATTCTTGATTCTGCCCGATTCTGTTTGTTCTATTACATCAAATCCTCGCCGACCTGTGAAGATCCGGGATAGAATAGGTCTTTAACAACCCACGATTGCCATAAAAGAAGACTATGCTTGTTGTAAGAGGCGACTAGGGGGATTGGGTGGTCAGGCTCACTGTTTGGTTGATGCATGTCGTAGTATCCCAAATGTGTGGGTTGATGCTCATGATGTCAATCACTGGATTGTCTGTTCCAACTCAATTATTTACAGACCGCCATTATATAGTTGGATTATTGCTGAGTGCGAACGAACGAACGAACGAACAAACGAACGAACGAACGAACGAACAAACAAACAAACAAACAAACAAACATAGATCTCCCCACATGCATTCCCCTCAGATGCCAGAACACACAATGAGACCAAAGAGTGAGATTCTGTTATGCTTCATGTGCTTTAGTCAGGATAGCTACATAATGGCATATGAGGGGATATCTCATTTGGCAAAGAACTTTCTTGAGGGTATATTATTTCGTTTTGGTCAAATATTACTGCCATTGTTCTTGAATTTAGAGAGACCTATGACAAGTGTATGGGATGGCCCAGACTTGGTTATTTACAGGGTGATGGAATATAGCTTGAAATGGCTGACTGCTTTGTCAAACAACAAAATCTGTTTCGGTGAAAAATCAATTGCAAACAAATGGAATTGTGTCATGAGCTGATTGATGAATTGGTTATGAACTGAATGTATTAACACTATCGACAGAATTATGTGTTTTCATGTATTTGGGGGTTAGTGAGTATTTGATGCGCTGAAGTTTCACCATTTGAGAAGTCTGTTGAACAAAATCCCAGGTTCCTTCTAGAAATGGTCAGTGCGAGGTATGTTCCCAAGCTTGCTTGTGTTACATTCCCCGAGGGCAGTAGATTTATGAGTAAGAGGACACAAACTGTGTGTATCATATATTCTGTGTGCCCCGTGGAACCCTCATTGTAAAAGAAACTTCAAACCTGGAAATCTTCTAAATTTTCACTGTATTTGAATACAATGTTTGGTAGATATTTAAAAAAGCGGGGCATTTGGTTGACAAAAAGGATGCTGCTTTCATTAATTAGTTTGATCAATATCATTACAACTTTGATTTTCTCTGCGTTCCGCTTACCAGGCAGAATCAGTTGTCCTGTATGTTCACAGTTACAAGACTTGACTCAGAAAGAGAGTGGCATGGAAAACTATTTTGTGTTCACAATGTTCATAAACATTATATTGGTTTTCAGTGATGTGCAGGTGATGCATGGAAATAAATAATTCCAAATAAAACAACTGTCCATCAAATAGGCTAATCAATAACATCCACAAATCTAAAACCACTTGTCAAAAGACTGGTTCCATTAAAATAGTTGAACAATTCAAGGAGAAGGGATCAAGCAAAAGATTATTAATGGTAAATGTGCACTTAGATTTTAAATATTTTAGCTGAACAATATTGTTTGCATGACAAACGTCGTGTGATGACAGAATTATTTATGTAATTCTGACATTTTGAAATGACCTTGACCTTTATTCCAGAAAGAGGAGGAGAAGATGGCAGAGGTGGACCACGAGAACAAACTGCTGCTGCAGAAGATGACGCAGATCATGAGGACGCACGGACGCATTGACAACTGGAACCTGGAGCATGAGCCCCGCAGGTCAGTTATGTGAAGGTCACCTGGAGTGTGTGAGATGCAGGTCAGTTAGATGAAGGTCACCTGGAGTGTGTGAGATGCAGGTCAGTAATGTGAAGGTCACCTGGAGTGTGTGAGATGCAGGTCAGTTAGGTGAAGGTCACCTGGAGTGTGTGAGATGCAGGTCAGTTATGTGAAGGTCACCTGGAGTGTGTGAGATGCAGGTCAGTTATGTGAAGGTCATCTGAAGTGTGTGAGATGAAGGTCAGTTATGTGAAGGTCACCTGGAGTGTGTGAGATGCAGGTCAGTTAGATGAAGGTCACCTGAAGTGTGTGAGATGCAAGTCAGTTAGGTGAAGGTCATCTGGAGTGTGTGAGATGCAGGTCAGTTAGATGAAGGTCATCTGAAGTGTGTGAGATGCAGGTCAGTTAGGTGAAGGTCATCTGGAGTGTGTGAGATGCAGGTCAGTTAGATGAAGGTCTCATGGAGTGTGTGGGATGCAGGTCAGTTAGGTAAAGGTCACCTGGAGTGTGTGAGATGCAGGTCAGTTAGGTGAAGGTCATCTGGAGTGTGTGAGATGCAGGTCAGTTAGATGAAGGTCACCTGAAGTGTGTGAGATGAAGGTCAGTTAGATGAAGGTCATCTGAAGTGTGTGAGATGCAGGTCAGTTAGGTGAAGGTCACCTGGAGTGTGTGAGATGCAGGTCAGTTAGATGAAGGTCTCATGGAGTGTGTGAGATGCAAGTCAGTTAGGTGAAGGTCATCTGGAGTGTGTGAGATGAAGGTCAGTTAGATGAAGGTCACCTGAAGTGTGTGAGATGCACGTCAGTTAGATGAAGGTCACCTGAAGTGTGTGAGATGCAGGTCAGTTAGGTGAAGGTCACCTGAAGTGTGTGAGATGCAGGTCAGTTAGGTGAAGGTCACCTGGAGTGTGTGAGATGCAGGTCAGTTAGATGAAGGTCACCTGAAGTGTGTGAGATGCAGGTCAGTTAGGTGAAGGTCACCTGGAGTGTGTGAGATGCAGGTCAGTTAGGTGAAGGTCACCTGAAGTGTGTGAGATGCAGGTCAGTTAGGTGAAGGTCACCTGGAGTGTGTGAGATGCAGGTCAGTTAGATGAAGGTCACCTGAAGTGTGTGAGATGCAGGTCAGTTAGATGAAGGTCACCTGGTGTGTGTGAGATGCAGGTCAGTTAGATGAAGGTCACCTGGAGTGTGTGAGATGCAGGTCAGTTAGATGAAGGTCACCTGGAGTCTGTGAGATGAAGGTCAGTTAGGTGAAGGTCACCTGGAGTGTGTGAGATGCAGGTCAGTTAGGTGAAGGTCACCTGGAGTGTGTGAGATGAAGGTCAGTTAGATGAAGGTCATCTGGAGTGTGTGATTTTAAGGTCAGTTACGTGAAGGTCACCTGGAGTGTGTGAGATGCACTTTGGATACTTGCTATCCTGGGGAGAATCCTAGGAAGAATAGATCCAACTGCTTATTGTGAAAGAGAGCTGGAGAACATCTGGTTGTCAGACTCGATGACTTGACTGATTGCATTTCATCATGGTTTGATGATGAAATCATTGCACATGCTCTCAGTGGTGTAAAGCAACATTCACTCACTACATTCAGTTTCTCACATGTGTCAGGGAGTTATTCCACCATTATTATCAATATTCTGGCAATATCATCACTGAGGTTAGGCGGTAGGGGGAATAGAAAAAAATGGGCTTTGATCATTGTCCCATGTAGAATATTAAACCTTTTGGTGACAAGTAAATGCTTTAACTACACAGCTACCACCTTCACATGTGTGAAACTAAATGGAATGATGGTCTGAGGATTTCTGTTACTGTAATGTCTTGTGTAAATGCAAGCCTCTGTTTCAGCCTGAACTATCCCTACAAACATAAGCAGCTGGAGAAGATTGCGGAGGAGAACGTCACCATCGCTCGTCGTCTGGAAACTGTACAGCCGATATACAACAAAGATGACTGGGTGAGAGGGAGATAGTCATGTATAGTGATTGTTGTTTTACATCTGGAACAGTAAGACACAAGTAAATAAATAACAGACTGACTAATCTGCTGCAGTCAGATGGGCTAAATCTTTTATTAAATCTGAATTATCTCTGCAGTTGTATACATTTCTTAATAGGTATTTTTACTTGATCTCAAGTTTAAATAATGGTGCATGTGGCCTGACAAAGTGCATACTTAATTTATTTATTTAATTTGATCAAAATCAGAATTCTGTTCATTTCTCTGCATTCTCACAAGGTGAATTTATTTGTCATTGCAGTTTCATATGCGTGAAAGTTCACTTAATTGTCAATAATCACTATAAGTTTACAGCTTTGTGTGTGTATGTTGAAATCTCAACATTTTCAAATAAATGGGCAAAATACTTACTAACCCCTGCAAATCTGAAAACATGTTTGCAATGCTGTAGGAGGAGGAGTACCAGCAGCGTCGCTACCTCATGGACCTGTGGGCCTACTCCACCAAAGACTATGATGACACCCCCCGTGGCAAGGCGAAGAGATCGGTAAGCTGCAGCACCTATAGTCAAGTGATGATGTTAACTGTCTGCATTGGTGGTGGACTTCTTAAATCTGTGTTGTAGTTTGATGATAACCTTACTTAATGAAATATGTCTTGTTGTGTTGTCTTGTTGTGTTGTCTTGTTGTGTTGTCTTGTTGTGTGGTCATGTTGTGTTGTCATATTGTGTTAAATTGGGATGATGACTTTGATAACTAACTGTGCAATCTGACCTGTGTCTTAGGGTATATCATGTGCTGTGTCCAAAATAACAGTGATAGGCCTTTGGTCCCTAATTAGCTTCCTGCTAAAAAATGAAAAGGTCTGAATATATATTATCTTATCTTATAAAAGAAATAGTAACCCGTCAGGATTCGGAGTAAGAATATATCAGAAGTTACCCAGCAACAACAATGACATCAGTCACTGGATTGTGTGGTCCAGACTCGATTATTTACAGATTGCCAGCTGTAATATTGCTGAGTATGGCATTAAACAACAACAAACAGAAAAACAAAACCTACCAAACATTCATGTTTCACGTGAATAACATCCATCAACAGTTACTGTACACAGATCCATGGGCCAGTTCGTTTAAACAAAATACAAATGTCTCCCGCCTCAAACTTTCTAAAATGTGGATGCAAATTTAACAGTTGAATCAGTGTGGTCTTGTTCAACTTCTTTGTGCCATATAATGCAAAATTGTTTCATTTCATCCACAGAGGGGTGAAGATTCAGATGGCAAGTATGATTCAGATTTTGAGTCAGATGATGATGATGCAAAGAGCAACAAGCTACCGTCCATTGTAAGTTGAAAAGGAAAATACAGTATCAGTCACAAACACAGCTTTCATTTTGTCTTTATCCAATATTGTTTGCCGCTAAATTATGTTGGAGCATGGCTGTCAATGCAATACTTGATGCTTGTGTAGATAGTGTTGTATGGCTGTCAATGCAATACTTGATGCTTGTGTAGATAGTGTTGTATGGCTGTCAATGCAATACTTGATGCTTGTATAGATAATGTTGTATGGCTGTCAATGCAATACTTGATGCTTGTATAGATAGTGTTGTATGGCTGTCAATGCAATACTTGATGCTTGTATAGATAGTGTTGTATGGCTGTCAATGTAATACTTGATGCTTGTATAGATAGTGTTGTATGGCTGTCAATGCAATACTTGATGCTTGTATAGATAGTGTTGTATGGCTGTCAATGCAATACTTGATGCTTGTATAGATAGTGTTGTATGGCTGTCAATGCAATACTTGATGCTTGTATAGATAGTGTTGTATGGCTGTCAATGCAATACTTGATGCTTGTATAGATAGTGTTGTATGGCTGTCAATGCAATACTTGATGCTTGTATAGATAATGTTGTATGGCTGTCAATGCAATACTTGATGCTTGTATAGATAGTGTTGTATGGCTGTCAATGCAATACTTGATGCTTGTATAGATAGTGTTGTATGGCTGTCAATGCAATACTTGATGCTTGTATAGATAGTGTTGTATGGCTGTCAATGCAATACTTGATGCTTGTATAGATAGTGTTGTATGGCTGTCAATGCAATACTTGATGCTTGTATAGATAGTGTTGTATGGCTGTCAATGCAATACTTGATGCTTGTATAGATAGTGTTGTATGGCTGTCAATGCAATACTTGATGCTTGTATAGATAGTGTTGTATGGCTGTCAATGTAATACTTGATGCTTGTGTAGATAGTGTTGTATGGCTGTAGTGTGTATAACTTGATGCTTGTATAGATAGTGTTGTATGGCTGTCAATGCAATACTTGATGCTTGTATAGATAGTGTTGTATGGCTGTCAATGCAATACTTGATGCTTGTATAGATAGTGTTGTATGGCTGTCAATGCAATACTTGATGCTTGTATAGATAGTGTTGTATGGCTGTCAATGCAATACTTGATGCTTGTATAGATAGTGTTGTATGGCTGTCAATGTAATACTTGATGCTTGTATAGATAGTGTTGTATGGCTGTCAATGCAATACTTGATGCTTGTATAGATAGTGTTGTATGGCTGTCAATGCAATACTTGATGCTTGTATAGATAGTGTTGTATGGCTGTCAATGCAATACTTGATGCTTGTATAGATAGTGTTGTATGGCTGTCAATGCAATACTTGATGCTTGTATAGATAGTGTTGTATGGCTGTCAATGCAATACTTGATGCTTGTATAGATAGTGTTGTATGGCTGTCAATGCAATACTTGATGCTTGTATAGATAGTGTTGTATGGCTGTCAATGCAATACTTGATGCTTGTATAGATAGTGTTGTATGGCTGTCAATGCAATACTTGATGCTTGTATAGATAGTGTTGTATGGCTGTCAATGCAATACTTGATGCTTGTATAGATAGTGTTGTATGGCTGTCAATGCAATACTTGATGCTTGTATAGATAGTGTTGTATGGCTGTCAATGCAATACTTGATGCTTGTATAGATAGTGTTGTATGGCTGTCAATGTAATACTTGATGCTTGTATAGATAGTGTTGTATGGCTGTCAATGCAATACTTGATGCTTGTATAGATAGTGTTGTATGGCTGTCAATGCAATACTTGATGCTTGTATAGATAGTGTTGTATGGCTGTCAATGCAATACTTGATGCTTGTATAGATAGTGTTGTATGGCTGTCAATGCAATGCTTGATGCTTGTATAGATAGTGTTGTATGGCTGTCAATGCAATACTTGATGCTTGTATAGATAGTGTTGTATGGCTGTCAATACAATACTTGATGCTTGTATAGATAATGTTGTATGGCTGTAGTGTGTATAACTTGATGCTTGTATAGATAGTGTTGTATGGCTGTCAATGCAATACTTGATGCTTGTATAGATAGCGTTGTATGGCTGTAGTGTGTATAACTTGATGCTTGTATAGATAGTGTTGTATGGCTGTCAATGCAATACTTGATGCTTGTATAGATAGTGTTGTATGGCTGTCAATGCAATACTTGATGCTTGTATAGATAGTGTTGTATGGCTGTAGTGTGTATAACTTGATGCTTGTATAAATAATGTTGTATGGCTGTAGTGTGTATAACTCGATGCTTGTATAGATAGTGTTGTTTTGCTGTAGTGTGTATAACTCGATGCTTGTATAGATAGTGTTGTATGGCTGTCAATGCAATACTTGATGCTTGTATAGATAGCGTTGTATGGCTGTAGTGTGTATAACTTGATGCTTGTATAGATAGCGTTGTATGGCTGTAGTGTGTATAACTCGATGCTTGTATAGATAGTGTTGTATGGCTGTAGTGTGTATAACTCGATGCTTGTATAGATAGTGTTGTATGGCTGTAGTGTGTATAACTCGATGCTTGTATAGATAGTGTTGTTTTGCTGTAGTGTGTATAACTCGATGCTTGTATAGATAGTGTTGTATGGCTGTAGTGTGTATAACTTGATGCTTGTATAGATAGCGTTGTATGGCTGTAGTGTGTATAACTCGATGCTTGTATAGATAGTGTTGTATGGCTGTAGTGTGTATAACTCGATGCTTGTATAGATAGTGTTGTATGGCTGTAGTGTGTATAACTCGATGCTTGTATAGATAGTGTTGTATGGCTGTAGTGTGTATAACTCGATGCTTGTATAGATAGTGTTGTATGGCTGTAGTGTGTATAACTTGATGCTTATATAGATAGTGTTTTTTTTTTGTAGTATTGCTCGGTGTTACAGTAGAAAGAGTAGATTTGTAGTTGCATGAATAATGTTATAATTAGTAGCAAATTCAAATACTGGTGGTTCCGGGGTTATGTTTTCCCTATTAATATGTGGCTAGAAGTGAAGGGAAAATATAGTTAATTATGTTATTTCATAGTTCATAAAGTTGAAAAACAGTAGAAAACTTACCTATATATGAAAAGAATAAATGTTTGAAGTGCTTATATTTTTAATGCTCTATAGGTAAGGCGAGGTGAAATTGAGTTTAACGTCATGTTCAAGATTATTCCCCTTTTATAGCAACATGCATGCACATGTGTGTCTGTGTGTGTGGCTGCTTGTACTAGTCCGGACTGATGCCAATTTATAGTGCTAGCCCACTGAGATACCAGTTTAACATCAATACCCCACTCAGACACAGTATACTGACTCCGAACCGACCAGTCCTTGTTTTAGTCCCTTAATGCCTAGTGCATCTTTTAATGTCTTTTGGTATGACGCGGCCGGGGATCGAATCTCGAACCTTCTGCTCTCTGAGCGGGCGCTCTACCACTAGACCACGGAGGAGGTCTTAAAGCTCTATAGGGTTGTCTCCCTTGATTTGTTGAGCATTTGGACAGCTTGTGTTTCATGTAATGGTTGATCATTCAAACACTTCATCAGCAAACTTTATTTGTTTTACTGATGCATATCATTACTAACTGTGATATGTTCCTTTATTATTTATAGCCTTGATGTGTTGAAAGTAGAATTTACTGAATAAAGTAAAACTGAAAACTATACACAAAGATGACATTAAAGATTTTTTAAATAAGATTTTTTATTTTTTTGCACACTTTTATTTTTGTATTTGTTTGATCTTTTATACATTTCACTGTCATCAGACTTTATGTTGATTTGTTCCTTATATTTACTTGAATTATGAATTACATTCTCCTGTAATTTCTATTTTTCATGAAGGATGAAAGTGACAAGAAGAGTGATACCAAGAAAGAATCTCAGAAGAAATCCAAAGACGATAGCCATGTCACCAAGCTTCCAAAAATCAATGACAAGAAAAAGGTAAATTATTTTTAACTAGATCCATGCTTATCTAAATATACAAATAAACAATGAAGCTAAGTCTCAGTCTACTGGCTACATTAGTGAAGGAATGGGGCTACAAAGGATGACCATCACAGGCCCTGCCTGGCTGATGTAGTGTAAATTCACACCCCAGTTTTGTGCTCACACCATCGGATGTTACAGTGGCAGAATCGGGGGGGGGGGGGGGGGGATGTTCAAGGGGTTCGAATGATTTCAAAGTCACAGATGGCCCCCAATGACTTTCATATAATATAATGATAGCCTTGAAATTTAAAATCATCAGTTTAGATACTCTTTCATCACATTTTGAATAAAAAAACTATTATGAAAAAAACCCTGAAGAATTTAAATTTGAAACCCCTAAATATTTCCCTGATCTCCTGGGTCCACTTCTGTGATAGAGACATTTGAAACGAGTGAAAAACATTAATGGATACACGTCTCTAAAAATTCTAAATGCATGCTTTAAATAGACATGTTATAAACTTCTTTCACAATTGCTGATTCAAGGATAGGCCAGTGGTCCAAAGGTCTCATAGTCATGTCCCTTAGCATCATAGTCATAGGTTTAAGTCTATGATGGTCTGTCTGCACCATATTACACATTTCACCAAAGTGGTACTGTCTAAGACCTGCATCACATCAGGCTTTCCTCAAGCAATAAGCAGACTCTTTTGACATACATAATTGAAAACCCAACTCACTATTTTGATAAGTGATTAGTTGCCTGATAACTCAGTGATACCTGGCTCACAATTCATCTCTATTTCTCACAAACAGTCGATGATGATGTCACTTTTCAGAACTATTGTCATTCATCATCTTAGTCAAAGTCCTCATCACGCTCAAAAGAAAGTCTGAATGTAGCAGGACATGGAGTTATCCACCTTATCAGCTCTTTGGTCATGTGGACAAGGTGTCCGTCCTTGGGTCAGAATGCCTGTGGTTCGAATCCCATCCCTGAAATTGGAAATTTTATGGCTACTGCATTAGCGCCCAACTATGTGGCCAGGGACGTGCCTTCGGTTTGTTGGGGAGTAGCAGAGCGTGGAGTCATCCCATAGATGACACTCTTACCTTGTTAGCTTGCTGACATGGTTAACTTCTCTGGTCATGTAGACAAAGCATCTGACCTGGCATCAGAAGGTCCGTGGGTGTAAATCCTATCATTGGAATTGAAAATTTTTTGGCCTCTACTTGTACGTAGACTTTCTAGAAATGTTACACTTCAGCCACAAGCATAGAGGGTCTGTCAGGTGAACACTGAGTGAACTAGGAGTGCCCAATTAATATTTGTTTTGAGCCAATCAGATGTCAGCTTTCATAAGCTATTCAGCTATTTCTTTACCACTATCTGTCCCCATTTGGAAGTCTGCACAAAACAGAAACGGTCCCTCCATTGTACATCCTTTTTGAACTATGCATAAAATAACTCAGTAAAGGTGTTATTTTTCTCCATTTGGAACTGCCTGTTTACATTCATTTTTGAGATACAGAAATTCAGATATGCTGCTCTGAATGCTGATAAATTTAGAATCCTCAACACTGATTGGCATGTTCACCTGATGTGTCTTCCTATTGAGAGGCATCAAATCTTGACTGATTGAGGTATCAAATTGGATTAAAAGATCTGATTTTAATGAGATTGTACTTCAACATGTGTTAGGCTTAAAAAAATGAAAGAATTGGTTCTCAGGCAATGTTTTTTGAAAATATAGTGTGGGCTGGTGGTGTCTTTTTTTTGGGGGGGGGGGTTCAAACTAGTATGTAACTATATAAACAGTTGTGTAACCAAATAAAAAGTTGTGTTCAATCAACCTGGGAAAGGGCCTCCGTACATAAATGTATTCCTTGATGAGTAAGACACTGGAATACAGTATTTGACTACTGTTGGATTTGGAATATTTAAGTATTTTAAGTTTTTTTTAAAAATATGGAAATAACAAGGAAACCCGCTGCAGACTTTGTGATGAAGCTGGCGGTGCCTGAGAACCAAGATTATTATTTTTTTTTAGCCTTACATCTGGTACATTATTCCACTTTGTGATAATGTTTCTAATTTCAGATATTAATGCTGAAAAATGATAATGTTTTTTTTATATTTGATTTGAAAGCATTTATAATCTGCACATGATTATTTTTCAGTTGATTTTCCTTTGTTCATAATTCAACATGTTTTGACATTTTTGACATTTCTTCCTATCTGCACTTGACAGGAGTCTTTAGGAATAGATCACTCTTATCAGATGTATTGGGGTGATCGTTATGACCCTGATGGTAACAAAGAGGTAACCAATCAACATTGAGTATGATGTTCAGCCAGTCAGCACTTAGTGTAATGTGCATGTTCAACCAATCAGCACTCAGTATGCTGTGCATGTTAACCAATCAGCACTTTGTATGCTGTGCATGTTTGACTAATAAGAGCCTTGAAAAAGATCATTGTACATAGAATCACTTGAATGTATTTCAAATGTTTAAGGAAAAGCACTGAACTTCATTTGCTATGATAATGTGACTTTGGCTTAAAGATTTTAATTTGATCAAATCAGCAATTTATATTCTAAGAACAATTTTACAATTTTGGCTAAAATCCTCTTTAGAAATGAACTGCTAATACAAACTTACCTACAGAATAAATTGATGTCAAATTGTCTCCACCCTTCACCATCCTAAGTTTTTGGGTAATTACTTGGTTTACAGGTCCATTGATAATTAATTTCTCAAATGTAAATAGAATGGAACAATAATTTTACAAAATAATTATGATTGGTCAATCAGAGGTTTCAAACCACAGTAACCACCTCTGATTGAAACAGCTGTACATTTTGTTCCAAATTCAACGAAGTGTAGAAAAATCTAGTCAAAATTGCTTTACATCGCATACAGAAAAAGTTGCTCAAATGTTAAGGACAGACTCCCCTTTGAGTACCGGTATATGTTAACAAATGTCACTGATCAAGCAGCTTCCAAAGTCATGAAATTATGATACCTACACTTCCGTATCATGATGGTCATATACTACTCAAAAGAAGTAAAGGACTTCCTAATTCTTTCTTATTACTACAGTTAATCTCGTGGCATGACAGATTAACTATAAAAATAAGGAAGAAATGGGTGGTCCTTAACTTCTTTTGAGTAGTATACATACACCTGTAAAAAAGTAAAGCACCATCTCTTCTCGATGTCTATTTGGCTAATATATATATCGTACATTGGTCTCATTCTTATAAATGTCTAATATACCATCGGTTCCTGCTGAAGTTTGGTACATATGATTATACAAAGACGCAGAGGAAACAAAAAAGATAGGAGTCAAATAATTTTCTCCCTTTTGGACAGTTACAATTAGAAAATCTATTTCAGAATCTATGTGTACGATAAAGTACATCTGAGGGTTTTTGTGATATTTAAAACCCACATCCCCGGGTTTTAAATATCATAATAGGCCGAAGGGAAGTTGTATGTTTCAAACTTTCCATGAACCTTAGGAAACAGGCATAAAATATCTTTTGCTGGCGTACGTTACTTGAAAAAGACATTCTTCAAAGAATAGAGATTTATCAGCGCCTGTGTACCCTACTGGTACACTCACTGGGCTAAAGATATAAAGGTTGCGAGTTCAATCCTCAGGAATATAAAGAAAAAATTTGTCATTTGATTTTACATTTTATTACATTGTGTTAAAATGCAAAACAAAATTTCTTGCGAGAAACATTCATATGTTACAATCTAAACCTTAGTTGTATTACTAATATCCCTTGGATATTATATATAATCCTCAGGCTATCATTACATCCCTGTTTATGAGATCTAACTTGACTCGAGAACAGTAGGGAGATGTCACTGGAGGTTCATAAATTACAGTTTGAGTATGTCGTTTGTAAACAGAAAATTTTGCAAGATATGTTTAACAAAAGATGGCTACTTAATGTGGAAATATTTTGTATTTGGTGCTTTTATCCAGGTTCATAGTTTGAAAACCAAGTTAAAAATAAACTTTTTCATTTCACCATTATCATACGTTTAAAAGCTCAATAAAAAATCATTTCACTTTGATAAGAATTTTGATGACAAATCCTTTTTATACATAAACTGTAAACCAGGTAATATCTCACCTCTTGTTTCATCCTGGCAAACAAGACATCACTGTAATCATTGCAATGTAAGATGATCTTACATCGCTTGATCATTCCCTGTTGTATCCCTAGGTCCTATAAACCCAGGTCATATAGTCCTACAGACAGTGCATAGAGTCAAGCCAGGTCACATAGTCCTACAGACAGTGCATAGAGTCAAGCCAGGTCATATAGTCCTACAGACAGTGCATAGAGTCAAGCCAGTGCCTATAGTCAAGCCAGTTCCTAGAGTCAAGCCAGTTCCTATAGTCAAGCCAGTTCCTAGAGTCAAGCCAGTTCCTATAGTCAAGCCAGTTCCTATAGTCAAGGAAGCTATTTCCTAGAAAGAAGCCATCCTCATAACCCTAGTTCCTGACCGTAAATAGTCACTGAATAATAGTATCAACAAATTGTATCATTGTAATGAATATTCTGTATGAAACATATATACCTGTTCCAACAAATATTAAATAATGAATGAAAACAAATAAATATGACTACATGGGAATAGGTAGGAGGTGACTTCATGTGTCGTACCAGTATAAGGTAGAAATACTTTGGGTGTATCTTGGAAAATAAAAGTTCTTCAGTGCTGAAATTCAACGAAGGCTGTCTCTTGATAAATTATTAATTTAAAAAGAAATGTAAAACAATATGTCACAAAATGAAAATCTGAATATTGTAACTTCATCAGATTGAGAAAATAGTATTTTGAATGTGTCTTGAAGCATGTTGTTTGGTGAAGCATTTGCACAGTGTTTGGTATTGGTATATCACAGTTACATTGTCAAGTAATAGACTGCACCAGACACGGCTGCCATATTCTCTCAGATATAAGGACTGAACATTTGATATTCTGGGCGGGGGCCTGAGAATGTTTTAAAAAAAACTAATTTGTTCCAGAGGTTTTCAGAAGAAAATTTTGGCCTCACGTAATTAATACAACAAAAAAGTTGTTTAATAGGCATGCTGTATGTCCTGAAAAAAATTGTCAAAATATGTCACAAAAACTTAACTTCTCCTTTCATCAAAATAAAATGTAAATCTTGATAATGTGACAGAAGACGTTTTTCTGTCTCTAACAAAAAAAACCACCAAGGATATTAAATGTCAGTCCTTAATCACAAGGGGACTTAGCTCATGTCAGAGAATTAAACACTTAACATGGATTTCAACCATAGTTTGTTATGTTTGGCATGTGGAAGTATGATGGTCCAGGAGGGTTAATATGTTTATGCACAGATAAACATCTATGTACATCTTTGGTTCATGATGGAACAGTGGGCTTATATCTGAGTTTGAACACACGTTAGGCTTACCTGTGAAACTATGGTAGCAGGTGTAACGCCATCACACTGTCCTCACTCACTGATGTCATTGTGGTATATGGATTATTTGATGAACTGAAAGGTTGGAGTGATAAGAAGTGTTCTTCTACGGAACAGTAGCCATCTTCCCATGGCAAGAGAGTATAAAAGACTATAAAAGACCAGTTTCACCCTTGCCGAAGAAGGCTGGAATTATGGAGTTTTATTTTTGCTTGAATAACGAGTCTATGCATAGTCCAATCAGAATTGCGTAACAAAATCGACATCCAGTTCGTAAACTGCTGTGCAGATTTTGGTCGATTGCAGGAATTGCAAAACATGTGTACCGTCAACTTAGCGTCAACAGATATTTTCCAAAATTTTTCATGTGTTTAATCAAGGTGCTCACATGATTTGATGTACTTCGTGAAGTAGGACCCGTTTTATTACAATATAGATCTTGATTATCAATCAGATCATCTTCAATGTGTGCCACCATTTTATGAGAAGCAAATGCAAGTGATATGAGAGATGGAATCTGATTGGTCAATAGGAGGGACATAAAAGTGACATAACTCGTAAAAGCCACTGCTGGCGCTACAATTGAGCCCAGAAACTTCATCCTAGTTCGACAAGGGTAGAAACTGGACTTTCCAGTCAGTTAACTCCCTTGCCTCGGTAAAGATAAGCAGTATCATATACTGGAATTCCTGATCAGAGTTGCACCAAGGACAAGTGAATGTCCCTTGGATCTAAAATTGAGTTCAACTTTTTTATTACAATGACACCATTTCTTGAATTGTGTCAGTTTGTAAGTTGTAAGTGCTAATTTACAGTTTTATGAGCTTAAATCTTAAACCAGACAATAGGTCCTGGTAGATATCATGTCACATTTAAATACCTTGAGTCATTAACAATCATTTCAAGAATTATAATTACTTCATATGCTTGGTACTCAACATTTTATTTGAGAATACATGTTGAATAATGACAGACTCTTGAATTTTCCCATAATGCTTTTAACCTCCCAGAATTCCAAGGGTAAATCAGATAATGATAACAAGGAGGCTTCAGAGGAGGGAAAGAAATCAGAGAAAGGGAGAGACAATGCCAAAGGGAAAAAAGACAAGGAAGATGAAAAGAATAAAGATGGAAAAAAGGATGATGATAAAAAAAAAGATGGAAAAAAAGATGAGAAAGGCAAAGATCAGAAAAAGGACGAAACAAAAGATGATGGCAAGAAAGGCAATGACAAGAAAGGCAATGACAAGAAAGGCAATGACAAGAAAGGCAATGAGACAACCGAACAGGGGAAAGGTGATGCAGGAAAACGCAGCAAGGACGAAGAATCATCTGCGACCAAAGAAAATTCCAAGAGCAAGAACAAGGCAATGAGATGCTGTTAATTGACCTTGGATGTTTTTCGTTCAGCTTTGCTTTGTAGTACTAGCCAGCTTGATTTGGACTTTTCTTTTGCATATTTTTATTTGCTAGTCAAGTTGATATATAATTATATTGTATTAGTATTGTGTGTTGTGGTCATTCAGCACTTCCTTGTAGTGATATTTATCAAGTAGCATATTTGACCAATTTGGTTCAACATACTGACCTTATTGTGTTTAACATATTCACTAACACTAGATCTCACTACAGTGAAACTTTCTTAGTTCAGAAACCTGTTTACTAGTCAGTTGCTTTTAGGAATGTCTACATATGCAGGGTTTTAAGGTACACAAAATATTGCGTTCTATATGCTTAAGAATTGGAACTCGATGCAAACACTTTTCACTGAGATTCCCATTTCATCAATTTTAGTCAGTGTAGCATGGCCATGAAGTTTACCGTCTATGTCCTCGTTTTTTCTGATATAGTATTACATGATTATCTCCCCTTTGATTCTGACAAACTAGTTTCAAACATGTATGGGCCCTTTTGGCCTGCAATAAACTCATGTGTCAATATTTTTCTCACAATAAGCTATAGAAGAGCCTAAAGAGTTTAGTCTAAAGTCTGTGGGTCCTGATGGCAGCGTGGCAATGGTTCCTTGTTTGAAACAAAGTGATTGAGTTTTTGTGCCTGCAGCGTCTAAAGTCTGTGGGTCCTGATGGCAGCGTGGCAATGTTTCCTTGTTTGAAACAAGGTGATTGAGTTTTTGTGCCTGCAGCGTCTAAAGTCTGTGGGTCCTGATGGCAGCGTGGCAATGTTTCCTTGTTTGAAACAAGGTGATTGAGTTTTTGTGCCTGCAGCATCTAAAGTCTGTGGGTCCTGCGATAGCAGCGTGGCAATGTTTCCTTGTTTGAAACAAGATGATTGAGTTTTTGTGCCTGCAGCATCTAAAGTCTGTGGGTCCTGATGGCAGCGTGGCAATGTTTCCTTGTTTGAAACAAGGTGATTGAGTTTTTGTGCCTGCAGCATCTAAAGTCTGTGGGTCCCATCAGCGTGGCAATGTTTCCTTGTTTGAAACAAGGTGATTCAGTGACTATAAAATGTCAACACTAGAAAATAATCTTGATTACCTGCCGATACAGATTCTGGACACAAATGACCAATCAGTGATGACACCAGGTGTTCGAGATAAGCTTCAGGAAGAGCTTGAGCAACATGTTTTCTTAAGTCATTTCTGAACAGTGCTTAGAAATAAAATATGTATTCAGGGATTGGGGCAAGCTTAGGGGTGGGTCTGGATCATAAGAAACAAGGAATAGAATTTGAACAAGCCTGATATACCAACATATGAAATGTTTCCTTGATCTTGACTATGCCCCTACATATTCATCGATTAAATATACGGCTTATATTATCAGATACAAACATGCAGTCCCATCTGACTTAAGAATGTAATATTTACGTTATGTTTTTACCTGCTCTTCAAATTGGATTTAGTGGTACACTGTGCCATGACAAAAAAAAGAGGATATTTTGCTTGTTGAATTTATCCTGATGGGTAGGGATTAGTATTTCATTAGTGCACCAGGCTGTGAACAGCCTCTAAAATAAAAGTTAATGCAAAAAATTCATGTGAACATGATGAAACAGTGTTCATCATAATTATTATTATATATTGAACACATTTCTTTTGTGGTTCAGGTATGTCTGTGAAACAAACAAAACTTTGTTTATCTATTGGTCATGACAAATGTCAGAATATCTTTATCCCTTAAAGATGCCAGGATTCGCTGTATCTCAATTTTAAGCAACAAACAAACGACCAAACAAATAATGGATAACGCCCAAGCACTGTATATCATAGCACAAGGCCCGTGAAGATCCGGGGTAGAATAGGTCTTCAACTACACATGCTTGCCGTAAAAGGCGACTATGCTTGTCGTAAAAGGCGACTAACGGGATCGGGTGGTCAGGCTCACTGACTTGGTTGATGCATGTCATCGGTCCCAATTGCTTAGATCGATGTGCATGATATTAATCACTGGATTGTCTGGTCCAGACTCGATTATTTACAGACCGCCGTCATATAGATGGAATATTGCTGAGTGCGGCGTTAAACAACAAACCAACAACAACAACAACAATTTTGGTGATCTGAATTTTTTAACATGGAGTACTGTAAAACATGGCATTTGTTTCAAACTTAGTGTTTGCATGTTTTTTGTGGGGGTATTTTACATGTAGTAGTGAGTGCTTTGCAAATGTTGGAATGATTTGATACTTGCTTCATTGACTGTGGCATGTATTGTTTAGTTTTATTGATTATCAAATAAATAATTTTTATTCACTTTCATTTGTTATTAGAATTTTGTGATTAACATATGTAACTGTTTCGTCCATTGCTTGTTACCATGTGTTATGGAAACTAAAAACGTTGTTTTGTCTTAGTTAATTATTCTATAGCTTCAATATTTGTTCCCATTTCAGGACTTTGCTTGGATACTGATATTTTATAAATAGATATTTGCTATCCTAACATCTTATTTCAAGCCTTTTTAAGATTGATTTTATAACATGTTTTTTTTTTTAACACTGACAACCCTAGTTCCAAGGAGTGGATTTGAACTTAGAAATATAGTTCAGAAGTGCTCACATAACAAATCCTTAATGTAAATGTAGTTATCTCCCTTAGACCAGTTAGGCCTTTCTTTGAGGCATTCTCATATGTTGTTTTTTGCATCTTCAAGTCTTTTTATATAAAATATTAGTTATTACAGGAGACAGGTCTTAGTGTAGGCTTCATGTAATATTAGTTGATTATGTAGGTGTAGTTGCTTTTATGCAAAAAACACACAGTGAATGATTTCCCTATATACCTCTATAGTGAAGTGTGAATTTGGCCCAATTGTTTACAGGTGCACCTGGTGGAAAAAACTGCACACATACCGTCTTCTTTCTATATTTTGTCAGTTAGATGAAATAACAAAGATTATAGAAATACATATCTAAGGAAAAGTTAAATATTCTTGATACCGACCAGCACACATCCTTGAGCAGGTGTATAGTATTATGACTGATTTCATCACTATACGAGTTCAATATATGGCTTTCTACTTCCGAAATACACAGATCAGCTTTGCATTTGTGCTTTATTTTTCAATATTTGTTTTATATTATAAGCTAACCATCAAAATAATCAGTTTGATCTAAAATTGCATGACTTCAATTCAGTTTAGAATTTGAATCAGTAGCACAAGACTGTTCTGATACAGTTGTAATATATATGACCTTGACCTCTGGTGTTCCAGGCTGACATGACCCCTTTGGAGGCTGATTCCAAACAACTTTTCAAGGTTGCCAAGGAGATGGGTAAACAATATTTCTGTATATTTTCCCACCAAATGTCTCTCAGGTAATTAGATCTGAGAATAAACGTACTGAAAGAAACTCTGTCCAGGCAATGTAGTTTACGTTAAGAGAACTGTTTTCATTCTTTTCTTTCATGTATTATTATTTATGAGCTGAGTCAGGTTATTCTCACGACATTGTCTTACATCCAATACTTTTGGTGCCGTGTGGTGCCAAGGTCATGTAGAATCTTTTCCCAAATTTTCTCTCTGTACAAGCATCAGTTAAAGTCAACAAATTATTTAACTTAAAATCTCAATTTTTTAACCTGGTCTATTCTCATGGTCTGTAAGTTGTTGTAACTTGTACCAAATCCTTTTCACTTTATGTGAATAAAATATAACATCAAATCAGATCTGAGACACAAAATATGATGGCACAATAGCCTGATGTTTTATACTTACACTGTCTTTTCAGGCCAGATTTGGGCCCACTTGCACAAAACGATCTTAGCGCTAAGACTACCGTAAGCCTATGTTAATGTATGGGAGTAAAGATCATCTTAGCGCTAAGATCGCTTTGTGCAAGTGGGCCTTGATAACCAGTAAAATTGTTCAATGAGTGTACATGTTGCATATGATTGGCAGGTACTGCTTCTCTAAAAGTATACTAAGTACCTAAGTAAAATGCCTTACTGATGTCAAATTTGGGTATCCAATTCATAGAGTATTGACATAAAACCTGCAATAAAGAAGATTTTCTTGTTAGTGCATATTGTGAACTTCATTTGGCATGTCTGTTCCTGAAGATAAGAGGTTGACTGATAAATTCAGGGCCTCACATTTGTAATATGCATGGCAACATATTTCACTATTCACAGTTCTTTCTCCAGGAAGCTGAGAGCTTAGCAATCAACCCTTGTATGGTCCTCATACAAAAGCGATGCTGCAAAACATTTCAAATGTTCTTACTTCTGTATAATGTGTACTTGTTCAATTACAAATGGATGACATATTTCTTGAACTCGGTTCTTTGAAGGTGCAATCTCAGTTTGGCAAATCTTTGCCTGTTTTCACAGTTTTATTTCATATGAGATAACAACACCCTGATTTTAACATTATCTTGCACTGTGCAAATATATATATGTAAACTTATTAAACTTACAGGGCAGTCTCAATATTTTCTTTGCGTAAAAATGTTCTGAAGAATAAATCACATACAGCATTTGTCACTACACATTATAAAGCTCTTGCAGCTCAAGTATGACAAAAAACCAGTCTAGATGATCGTCATTGTCATACCTGATATAATCCTTACACTTCTGTGAAAAACATATTGCTGGGTTTTTTGTTTTGTTTTTAAATTTGTTATCATGCTTTCTTGTCACTAAAATGGAAAAATATAATTTCCCTCAGGATGATAAAGTGTTATCTTATGTCATGACTGACAGTTCACATCAATGAATTAAATATTTAATTATTTAAAACGAAGGTGTTTACTTCCAAATTGGACCAGTGAAGATCCGGGGTAGAATAGGTCTTCAGCAACCAATTCTTGCCGTAAAAAGCGACTATGCTTGTCATAAAGGGCGACTCAGGTGGTCAGGGTCGCTGACTTGGTTGATGCATGTCATCGATCCCAATTGCGTGGATGGATGCTCATGATGTCAATCACTGGATTGTCTGGTCCAGACTCGATTATTTACATACTGCAGTCATATAGCTTGAATATTGCTGAGTGTGGCGTAAAACAACAAACAAACCAACCAACTTCCAAATTGACTGTTAGAATAACATGATCTTGCTATTCTTAAAAACAATTCCCACTTTGTAAATCTACAGGCGAGTCCGAAAATCTTCTTTAATGTCACTTAACACCATTCCTAATGGAGGTCTTATGTCTTATGCACATAGAATGACACCCAACTGTGTTTCAGCTGCTCCCGAGGACATTCTGATCAAGACGCTGGTCAAGAAATCCCCCAGCTACAGACAGCAGGTCAAGCGAAAGTTTCAGGAGATGTATGACCTGGTCAGTACAGTCTGGGGTCATTGCAGGGGTCAAGGCTGGACCAGTGGTCTGTGCAGAGTTTGTCCCTTAGCTGCCAGGATATGCTGAACGGACAAAATTAATTCACTCTGGACAGATAATCTGTTGCCTCATTTGCCATAGGTTATTCTCTAAATATAAACACAACTGGATCAGTAATACTGGAATATAAGTTTGTTATGAGGATTCACCAAAGCAAGAACATTCTTGAACAATCATATCCATCAAATAAATCAAGCATTTATTTGTTACATTTGATGATTACCATTTTGAAACTGAATACATAATGCCTGGAAAGACTCCGCCCAATTTGATTAATTGTTTGCCAGATATTTTCTTCCATGGTGATGAATAGTGGTGAACACCATTATTTTGCCTTTAACCCCCAATGGAATCTGTTTTGACAGATAATTAGGACAGATTATTCTCTGGCATTGACATTTTATATTGAGCCTAATCATAAAGTTGGCACCATTGAAATAAAATTTGAATAATTAGGGAAAGGTTGATGATTATTCTGATGAAAAAGAAATCAATTCTTATGGCTTAACAAACAGAAGCCATGGTCTGAGAACACCTGGTGTCATCACTGATTTTCTGTTATCCATTCATGTAATATTCACCACTATTTTGCCTTATACACCCAAAAGAATCTGTATTGGCAGATAATCAAGACTGGTTATTGTCTGTCATTGATGTTGTATATATACAGTACATCAGGGGATCTGATGGTCAGTATTTCCATGTTGTTCACAGGATTTGGGCAAGGAGTTAAAACAAGGCCTGGGTTCTGACTGGCATCTTCTGATTGATGAACTACTGGTTGACCCTACTGAGGGGGACGCGGGGGAACTACACACCGCTCTAGAGGTAAACCCACATTTAACATTTTAGATTCCTGCATTCGGATTGGTGCATCAGAGGTGTTTAATCTACGTTAGACCATGATTTTGCTGATGACTGCATTATATAGCTGCAAAATATAGTATTTATTCAGTAGCACTTCTTTAAACATTTTAGACATTTTCAACTACTGATATTATTCTTTAGCAAAATAACATGCTGTTGCTACATTACCGTATTCGATGTAATAAGCGCCCCACTCTAATAAGCACCCACGGCGATATTTGCTAATATATTGGCTAGTGAACAATTCCAATTCCTTCTGATTGATCAATGTACACAAGACTTATTTATTTGTGTATAACGCGCCGCGATATAACTGGAATACTGTTAAAAGCGGCGTTAAACCAAACTCACTCAATTATTTGTGTATAATACACACTCGTGTGTTATATTCACCCTTAATTATGGGCAAATAAATTCTAGAAAAGTATATCTGTCGTGTATAATACGTACAGACTTTTCATTTGGTATCATTTCAGGCTGTCAGCATAAACCACAAAATTTCAACTTTTATTCTAATAAGAGCCCCCTATTTCTAATTTTGAGAGCGAACTGGGCGCTTATTACGTCGAATACGGTATTTACAGGAAGTGTGCCAATATACTTTAGGCTGAATCACTGACAAACAAATACTTACATAGTGTATTGTAAAATTGAGTAACTTCAATACAGCTTGACTCTAGCATTTCAATATCATGTACTGTGATGTCATGTGAGGTGATTTATCCAGGATTCCAAACTAAGTCCCCTTGGCAGGTACCGCCTCTGTGGTCTAGAGGTAGAGCATCCGCCCGGAGAGCGTAAGGTCCGGGGTTCGATCCCCGGCTGCGTCATACCTAAAGACGTTAAAAGATGGTACTTGTTGTTACCCTGTCTGGCGCTTCTAAAACAAGGACTGGTCAGCTCAGAGTCAGTATACTGTGTCTGAGTGGGGTATTCATGTTAAACTGTGGCATGGTATCTCAGTGAGCTAGCACTATAAATCGGCATCAGTCCGGACTAGTGCAAGCAGCCACACACACACGTGCATGCACGTCGCAATATAAGTGCAATGATCTTGGACGTGAAGTTGAACCCAATTTCACCTCACCTCACCTTGGCAGGTAATCTGGGAAAAATAGCTATTTTGCTCAAACTGGTGAGTGATATACACGTTACCTGCACAAAGGCATACTTTTGGTTATTACAGTATAACAGGAATTGGGAAATTCGTAATTCCAATTTGGGAATATTTACTGACACTTGCTGCAGACCTGGGGCCGAATATTGGCCTCTGAGGAGGTCTAGATGAATCTCTCCATGTCTACTGCATCACAACATATAGACTAGACCCATCTATAGATCTTTATTACATCATAATAACGTTGTGTACATGAGAACAACAGATTACAGAGGTCACTTCATTTCTCTCAAGATGTCAGTTATAGCCAAAGACTTCATGTTTGTTTTGTCATTGTGTCATGGGAAAATGGACATATACCTTGTTTGTTTTCATTATAGATGTTTTGAACATAAATTTGATACATGTAATTTTTTCGAATACAAGAACTTATGCTATTAGTATCAAATTAAATTTACAAGTATCGAATATACATTTGAACCTGTACATTGAATAGGAGTGCAAACACTGATAAATGGTAGAAACAAAAATAACTTGAATGGAGGAAAGATGAAATACAAGAATGTTTGTTTATTAAAATTAGTCAGAGGGCTGCTTCAATTTCCACATCCACCTAGGAAAATGGAAATATTTCTAAAATTTGTAATTACTTCCACATTTGTGAAAATTTGTGTAAAAAAATAATAGAAAAAGCCAAAACATATTTCGATGTACTATTCTGAAAGGACTTTTTTTAAAAGAAAATAAATGTGTTTTGTGAAACATGGAGATTTTATCATATTTCGGGTTAATTTAAGAGGTTTCGGAATGCTCTCACTGGATTAAGTTGGATAATTGTATTGTTTTCAAGATGGAAAGTATGGAAGTTTATAACACAGATGTTACACTGACAGTTTGAAATTTGAAATTTTAAATTTTAAACTTCACAGTAAACCTAATTATGTAATCAACCAATTAGTGTTTAGGGAAGTAACATCTTCAACTCACTTTGTGTACTTTCTGTGTACTTTGTACTTTTGAAATCTTGTTTTTGGACAACTCCGGTTTACATGAAACTGTTTGTCTGTAAATAGGTGGGTTCATTTGTACTCTAATGAACATGAAGCTCCCCCCATTCATATTGAAGATAAATGTCATTTCTTAATCGAATGTAACTTTTATGATGATTTACGTTTTGATCTTTTACAAGAAGCTATTGCTATTAACAGAGATTTTTTAAATTTAGGCAGCTCAGACAAATTGATTTATATTATGCTAGAGGAATCACTGCATCACATTTTAGCTAAATGTCTATATTATATGTTTAAAAGAAGTCAAACTATATAAGTTAATTATCATTATTTATTATTATAATTTTTATTGTTATTATAAAAAAGTAAAACACCACTTTTATTTTTATGAGAATGGTATATTTATTTATTTATTTATTTATCTATCTATCTATCTATCTATCTATCTATCTATCTATCTATCTATCTATCTATCTATCTATCTATCTATCTATCTATCTATCTATCTATCTATCTATCTATCTATCTATAACCCAACATTTCCCAAATATGAAAAGTTTAGAGTCTTTTTACGCCCATTGTCACATTTGGCAAATTTCAGTGTGATATTTGTCTATGATTTTATGACATTTCATTCAGTGAAGTAATCAATATTTCATCTTTATTGTTTCAGAAGAAGAATATTCCGACAGTTGTGGAAATCCTTTGTTCAAACCAGGCTAGTTTGGCACAGATTAAAGATGCTTACCGGAAAGGTATACATACAGTCAAACTGAATGTCACGTCTTCCTTCACGCTTTGCAATGATCATCTGTTTTATACTGGTACAAATTCTAGAATCTAAATAAAGAACTTCAGGATTAGGTTGAATTATCAATGATATCATATATCATAAACATAAAGAATCTGATTGGCAGGGATTGATATCTTGGAATATCTCCATGTATTATTTTTGTATGTCTGTGTCTGTTAATTTTGAAGGCACTGGTTTTATTTTCCTCCAAAATGGGCTTGAATTATCAGTAGAACCAAACTAGAGCGTTATAAGATAATGATATATTCAATGGGTATGTTATTTCTGTAGGCCAAATCTAGTCAAGGTAGACACAATTTTATTGATAACAACTTCTTTAATACTGTAAAAAGCGATGTTTCGGTATAGATCCTTATACCGTTGTCAAGCAAGACTGAATGAGGGACATAGTACAGACTATGTATAGTAGGTGGAGCATTAACAGTAGGGGATTAACAGTAACCACAATTGCATACATGAGTGGGATAACATGGGTAGGAGGTTGACAACAAAGGGATAAATACATGTACTGTCACAACACAATGGAAGCCAATGGGACATGAAGCCAATTAAACAGGTGTTTAAATCTAGTGTTTTCTCGGTAAAGAAATGAAATTGTTGTGTTTCAAGTAAAAAAATTGAAGGTCATTCTCATGTAGGCCGACCTTTGGATTCTTGTAATAATGTTTTCAGTCTACTTTGAATAATCTGTACTTAGGAATGTCAGCAATGTAAGGATGGCCCTTTTGCTACCAGTAGGGCAGGACATGCTTACCTGTATGGTGAACACATGGTGCCATCACTCATTTTCTGTGATTCCTTCATATAATTTTCACTGCTATTTTGCCAATGGAATCTGTTTGGCAGATAATCAAGGCTGACTGTTCTCTGATGTTGACATGTTGTATTAACACCATAAATAGACCAGTGAAGATCCGGGGTGGAATTGGTCTTCAGCAACCCATGCTCGCTGTAAAAGTCAACTATGCTTGTCGTAAGAGACAACTAACGGTATCGGGTGGTCAGGCTCGCTGACTTGGTTGATGCATGTCATTGTATCCCAATGGCGTGGATCGATGCTCATGATGTCAATCACTGAATTGTCTGGTCCAGACTCGATTATTTACAGACGGCCATCATATGGCTGGAATATTGCTGAGTGCGGCGTAGAACAACAAGCAAAACAAAAACAACAATAAATAAGTGTAGAAAGAAAATATGAAAACTTAGAAAATCTAATCTTAACTTGTACAAATGTTATGTTTGTCTTGAAATGATCCCCTGAGTGGATTCCAGATTAGAATTTGTCCACCCAGTTTTTGCTTGTGATTAGTGGACGAAATGGATGGGATAGCCACTCTTGGTGACATGGGAGATTGTAGGTCGTCATGCCCTGATAGGGTGAGATGCTGATCATGCTATCAATCATTGGTTTGCTCTGGTCCAGAAGTTGCCGACATATAGGTGGAATACTGCTTACTGCGGAACTAAAACAAACACTCATATACATAAATGCTGATGCAACAAATGTATCATTTAGGGCCTCAATCATCAGTAAATAAAAGAATATCATAATATAAAAATAAATATAATATTTAACTGTAACTGCATAGAAAAACTACCCAACTCAGTTCCTGGAACCCCATTAGATAATTAATGTCCCCAAGACTCTGTTGTTTGTCAAAGGGTGACTATGTGACTTGGTTGAGTGCATGTCATTGAACCCTGATGACATGGGAGGTTTGCTCCTGTTATTTTGTCTGGCCCATAATTGATTGTTGACTGCAGCATTATACAAACAAACAAACAAACAATGAAATCATGTTATACACAAATGTATCTCAGAGTTTGCTGTGAGCCTGGAGAGCGATGTTGCTGACAAGACGAAGGAGCCTGTGCAGTTGCTGCTGATGACTCTACTCAAGGTAAAATCACAATCTTACCTGACATGTGATGTCATTGATGGGGAGGGGGAAAATAGTTGTTGTTTTCTTAATTTAATGACTTTTTCAGAGCTAGAGATAAGCAGACAATTTGCGTAAAATACTCCCCCAAAATATTCAAAACCGAATTACTTTCAATTCACTTGCGTACAGAAACGCATGCATTAAATGAAAAGCTTAAATGTTTAAAATCAGCACGCGTAAATACCCAATGAAGCTTTTTCAGCATGCGTACAAAGGAGCTAACTTCTGAAACACAATTACGAGCTAATTTGCTTTCAGAGTCAAGCCTATATATTTAGAACAGTTATATACATCTAAAACATTATTTCACTTTGTTTAAATCTTAAAATGTTCACTAATTTTGGGAAAAACCAATAGAGTGATGAATAGATAAGTGAAAAAGATATTGGTTACCCAATGAAAACTGTAATAAGCCAATTAAAATAGAAACCCTAGAGTAAAAACTCAATTGCTCAAAATGTTATCTGGAGCTCTGCTTTTGAAATTTTGAATAGCCTCTTGTTTGTGCGTGATACAAGGTTTACTTCTGAATTGTCAAACTTGATTTTTATCTTGAAGTGCAAACAATATGTTGTCGGCAGATGACTGAAACTGATTAGTCTCTAACGTTGAAATTTTATATCAACACCAAAAATATATTTAAGTGTAGGAGGAAAATTTGAAAACTTGGAAAATCTATTCTTTATAAAGGTAGTAGCATCTGTACAAACCGCAATATGTGACTCGACAGGAAAAAAGGGAATACGATAGTTTTTAAGATGTAATAAGAAGTCAAAATGTGGTTTTTACCCATAATGTCCCTTGTTTGATGGTGGGTGATGTTTGTTGCATGGTTTGATCTGTTTGCTGTGGGAGCCATGTAGCCACACCCAGAATGTTGCCACTGTGTTCCAGGAGGGGAGAGATGAGTCGACTGAGATCGATGACAAGAGGGTGGAGAAGGATGCCACTGTCTTGCATGAGGTGGGTGGATCAAACACAACAGCAATAACACAACATGAGAATAATCACAGCAGCAATAATAAAGAAGACACAAGTTATAACAACTTCTATATTATACTATTACAGAGAAGTTTCAGCATAGATCCTGATGACTGTAATCAGTCTTGTTCAGTCATACTTGACAGATTTCAGGATCTTAACTGAAATGTTGGTATAACAGTATAATAAAGACGTTCTTGTTCATAAATTGTGTCTACTTTGTCATCTGTCAATGTCTAAGAAATGCCTATCAAACAAATCAATAGCATCATACAAGAAGAGTATAAACAGGAATAACACAAGACGATTACCAACAATAATAACAACACAAGACGAATAACGGCAATAACACAAGACGATTACCAACAATAATAACACCACAAGAAGAATAAAAGCAATAACACATGACGATTACCAACAATAATTAAACAACACAAGACAATTACCAACAATAATAACAACACAAGACGATTACCAACAATAATAACAACGCAAGAAGAATAACACCAATAACACAAGACGATTACCAACAATAACAACACAAGATGATTACCAACAATAATAACAACACAAGATGTTTACCAACAATAATAACAACACAATATGATTACCAACAATAATAACAGCACAAGATGTTTACCAACAATAATAAAAACATAATATGATTACCAACAATAATAACAGCACAAGATGTTTACCAACAATAATAACAACACAAGACGATTACCAACAATAATAACAACACAAGAAGAATAACAGCAATAACACAAGACGATTACCAACAATAATAACAACACAAGACGATTGCCAACAATAATAACAACACAAGGAGAATAACAGCAATAACACAACACAAGAAGAATTACAGCAATAACACAACACAAGAAGAATGACAGCAATAACACAACACAAGAAGAATTACAGCAATAACACAACACAAGAAGAATAACAGCAATAACACAAGTATAACATTTGTTTGTTTGTTTGTTGTTTAACAACACACTCAGCAATATTCAAGCTATATGACGGCGGTCTGTAAATAATTGAGTCTTGGTCAGACAATCCAGTGATAGATATCATGAGCATCGATTTACTCATTGATCTACGCAATTGACATGCATCAACCAAGTCAGTGAGCCTGACCACCCGATCCTGTTAGTCACCTCTTGTGATAAGCACGGGTTGCTGAAACCTATTCTACCCCGGATCTTCACGGGTCAGAAGAATAACAACAGCAATAACTTAACTTTGACTACTACAACTACAACTACTACTACTACTACTACTACCTCATAACAACACAACACAACAGTAGCATCATAACTACAATACAACAGCATTACTACACAGTAAAAGAACAGTACAGCAACAATTATGTAAACAAATCCTGCATACTTGATGCAATTTTTCTTCAAAATATGGTGATCAGTTTATAGATTTGCCTGTCACTTTTAGCCAGTTTATGAAAAATATATTCCATAACAGTAAACAATCATGTTTAAGTGACCTTTTATCTAAAAACTGACATTGACATTTTGATGTTTATTCTCTCTTGCTTGCTGGTGATTTTAATTACAGGATATGAGGGTCCTGTAAAGTAATGAAATGGTGTATTGTGCTGTACTGCACTGTACTGTAAGATTTGATAATTACTTCAATGGCAGGTCCTTCATATTTATTGTCAAGAATTTGGTGAAATAAATATTATTGTGCATCCATTGGGATGCAATATATACTTGTGGGCATCCATTCTATATGTATGTGTGTACTGGATGCTCATCTGTGTCATGTAGAACCCTGCCACCATATTAAGGCTTAAATTCACTTAACCCCCAAAATTGATACAGTAATGCACAAGACACACTGCAGTAATATATATTTGTTAATTTTGATTTTAAGGACATACTTTAATTTACATCTTTAATCTCCTGCCTTCAGGTATTTATGAGATAAAAATCTGTACAACATGGAATCAAATGGGCCTGGCCTTCATGATTCTCAACCAATCTTCTTCCCCTTCAGTTCGGTGATGGTCGATGGAGCAACAAGAGTGGCAAGTTCCTCACTCTCCTCGAGGAGAAAAGTCTCGCACACATCAAAGCAGTTCTCAAAATGTTTAAATCGGTGAGTCTCCATTTTAACTTAGGCAACACTTTTTTAATTTCCATTTACAGATTTGACTGATCAGGGCCAAAATATAGCAATAAGGATTGTTTGTTCATGTGGTAAATGTGAAGCCGTCCATATTATTTAGTGTGTTTTTCATGCTCAGCTTCTGAGGGTGAAGGTGGCCAGAGGGAAGAACCAAAACGTAAAACATTCAGCTTTTGGTTGAGAATACAACTGAAGGGTAGTCTGCATGAATGGTTCTCAGTAAAATGCTTTGACCTCAAATACTCAAAACTAGTGATCACATGTGCTTTCTTGTGCTTTATTCAAAGTGCAATGGTGGCTGTATCCATGTTGAGAGCTTAAAGGGCAGACATAACAAAGAAATAGGCAGAATATCCTATCTTTGAATATCCTAGTGAAATACAGCCCCACTGGTGGCACCCATCACAAACACATGCAAAGGCAATTCAATTGTTTACCTGAAAAGATACAGCCCCATGTTATCAAATGTGAAATTTGCTGAATCTATTACCAGAGCAGGATGACATGTATTCAAGATGGAGATGGGTGGATATAATAAAACATTTTGAGTGTTTTTTACTGGGACGGTAATTTAGGACCAGTGAAAAACACCAAAACACATCTGCTGGGTTAATTACTATTAAAAATAATGATCCTCCTCAACATTTTTCCAAATACACAATAACTCACCCAAACAACAATTTGCCAATTTAAAAAATAGAAATATTGAGCTACTTAAATATTTTTTGTATATGTGACCTCTCCAAGCTGGGTTTTTTTCAGATAAGAATATGTGATTAAAACCATCAATCCCTTCCATATTCGTTAGAAATCTCTACTAAAAGCAGAGTCAATTGTACCATTCCGGCTATATCATGAGCATGTGTTTATGAACCACTATCAAATAGTAATGACACCAGGTGTTCACAAATAGGTGGTCCTGCCCCACTGGTAGCACCCATCACAAACACATGCAAAGGCAATTCAATTGTTTACCTGAAAAATACATGGGAACATATGGTACAAATCAAAATAGGAATTGCTGCCATTAAATACAGAACATGTAGATTTAGCATACCTGATCTTTTCAGGTTAACTAACATTGTTATTTAGTTAGAATTTGCCATTGTACATATGGTCATTATTTTTTCATAATGTGTATTGTTGCTAAAAACAGCTCTGATGAATTTCTTTAGAAAATATTCTTAGATTTCAGGTAAATATTTAGGTACATGACATTTCAGGAGATTAGTGAACTCACCACAGGAATCTGGGCTAACAATGCCATTTGGCTAAGTCGGGAATGACATATAGAGCAAAAGACCAAAACAAATTCTCAGTTTGTTTCATTCATTTATCAGATCCCATAAATGGTAATTGCAGAAGACGAAATAATTCATTTGCTAAATTAGTTTTCAGTGCTGTAGCTATTCCTAGCAACCTTTTCCCATGTGTGGCAACCAAATAGAGAAATTGAAGATGAGAGGTATTTTGGAGTAATATCCATCTTATCTTGGCTCTGTGCCTTTTGTAACAAAGGTCTTTTTTTAGCAGGATGATTTGATTCCATTTTCCCAGAACCTCATAATCTATGGATTTACCTTCATGAAAGTCTTGGAGTTCCACTGAAAAGTAATAAGCTGTTTTCGTAGATTGTGTTTGTCAGAGGAAAATCTTGGATGTTGGAATTTTAGCTCACCTGAGCTATTAATTTAAAAAAGGTTATGGCAGGGGTCTCGTTTTATAAAGACATGGTAGCGCTGCGACTATCGTAACTCCCAAACTTGAACATTGACTTATGACAGTCGTTACTAAGTGCTCAGTCCCTTTGTGAAATAGTACCCAGTAGGACTGGGATGGGTAACTCGGGTACTCAGGTCAGGTGGGTACTGAGAAGGACCCAGGTACCCACAGAACTACCCGGACCCGTGTTTGGTCATGTGATATATTGTTTAATGACAAAAATGATCTTGAACTATATGGTTATACTATTAGTAACTAATTTCTTTCTGACTATGCACCCAGACTTTTATATGTTTGAATAAAGGTAAAGGGTAGGGTCGGGTAATAGGTGGATGGATACCCGGTGTAAGGTGCCAAAATCTACCCCGGGTAGATTCTGGAAAGCCCCAAAATCTACCCGGGTATACTTTGAAGGGGGGGTATACTTTCAGACTTTACACCGGGTAGTAAATTTGGAATCGTCCCAGCCCCAGTACCCAGTGCTATGACTGTCGTAAGTCTATGGTAAAGTATGGGACTTACTGTCATCTTAGTGCTAAGATCACTTTGTGGAATAGTACCCAGGTGGATTGTCTGTTGTCTGGCGTCCATCTGTCCATAGTAGACTTCATTTTGTGGCACCTGGACTTCATGATCCCAGCTGTGATAGTGTCTAAAAGGATCCCACGGGTCATGTTTTAAAGATACTGCAAAGATATCTATATAGAGAATGTCATTTTTGCCAGTACTCTTTCAGTTACCTATCCATCATCATGGAACTTGATATGTTTATTGGGCATATATTGTCTATTCAGTTTGACCTTCACTTTCACCAATTTGTCTTGATTTACTACATTTTCAACATTTCAACTCACAGTCTGTTGGTTTATGAAACCAAAACTGTATTTATATCCTCCAAGAAATTGTGCCTCTAAAATTAGCTCACCAAAGTCTCATCAATGTTAGCATGGCTGCCATATTGGTTTCAAGGATGCTAACAACAGAAGCCATATTTATCATGGCACATTGTGTCACATGCAATTATGCTTGTGTCATTAGGAAATGTTTATGTTGTTTTGTTTGATCAGAATTTTTGCAGTAGGTTTTTGCATATTCTTCTTCACCTAATTATTATGACCAATACGATTTCATACTTGAAATATTCCACAACACATGCTTGTTGTAAGAGGCGACTAACGGGATTGGGTGGTCAGGCTCACTGACTTGGTTGATGCATGTCATTGTGTCTCAGTTGCGTGGATCGATGCTCATGATGTCAATCACTGGATTGTCTGGTCCAGACTTGATTATTTACAGACCACCGTCATAAAGCTGGAATATTGCAGACTGTGGCGTTAAACAAACAAACAGTCTTGTGGCTCAATTCTTTTCAGTCATTGATTGTATTTTATGGAATATATAACCTGCAACATAACATACGACCATATAAGTACATCTGGGGGCAGTCGAGGGCTGTACAGAGTTGCGTCCCTTGGGTATGCCAGAAACCTATGATTGTGGGTGTGAGTGCCGGATTGCCTCGATTATGTTTCTAGGTTTGTCAGCACCATACCCCTGCTTGTGGGTTTTTCCAAAGTGGTAAACATCTAAGACCTGCATCACTTCGGCATTAAACCACTCACTCACTATTTTCTTCTTCTTCAAAGATCAAAATGATGTATATCCAGTCTCTGCTAAATCTCTTGATTTGATAAACGTGTCTAAAAATCTATGATTTATGAGTATGAGAAATTCTTAATGTCCAATACTAACAACTAGCAGTATGGCAGATATATTGGTTTATTGATTGATTAACTGCATCCCAAACTCACAATTTAAAAAAATAATCAATTTTATTCTACTTGAGTCAAGGGTCAATTAATAGATGATAGTTTGATATCAGATGTTTTGGGCGTTCTAGGCCGCAACCCTGACTGCTTCCTTGATGACATTAAAATATTTAACAAAGGGATATGTATTTTGCATACAAATGAAATGTTTATGAAACTGTTAGGGAAATTTTTATGGTGACCAGAATCGGAACAATTTAAGCTATTTCCTCATTGAAACAACCAACAATGAAAGAAAAGTATAACATTATAAAAATTGTTTGAAAAAACTTTATTCATAACGACATGTTGTTTACGAACTTTTTGTGATTGATATTCTCAATGCATCATATTTATGATACAGAAACAAATGAGCTAATAATCTCTCTATGCATGTACACTAGTGTACTGCTTCACACCCGTGAACATCTGGGTTACAGTTGTTCTTCAGCTACCCATGCTTGTGGTAAAAGGTGACTAACAGGATCGGGTGGTCAAGCTCGCTGACTTGGTTGATGCATGTCATCGTATCCCAATTGTGTGGATCGATGCTCATGATATCAATCACCGGATTGTCTGCTCAAGACTTGATTATTTACAGACTGCCAGAATATAGCTGGAATATTGCTGAGGGCGTTAAACAAACAAACAAATAAACACTATACCCCAGAGCACTGGTAGGGTTGTATCAGACTGAGGATCATAATCACTTTTATAGTGCAGGATCTGCTGACTCAGATCTTTCACCCTGGTTATGAACCTCACAGGGATTCATCTGGGATTCCAAACTAAGTGCCCTTTAAATTAAGAAAAATACAAAATGTACCAGATTAGGATGTTCTTATTTTCATATATTCAGAGGTATTTTAATGTTGCATTCAATGCGATAATGTCAAACTGTTTTCAGTGAAATACACGTCACTTCTTCAAAGCCATACCTGGTGGCCTGGTGGCCTGGTGGTTGGGTGGCCTGGTGGTTGGATGGCCTGGTGGTTGGGTGGCCTGGTGGTTGGGTGGCCTGGTGGTTGGATGGCCTGGTGGTTGGGTGGCCTGGTGGTTGGATGGCCTGGTGGTTGGATGGCCTGGTTGTTGGGTGACCTGGTTGTTGGGTGACCTGGTGGTTGGGTGGCCTGGTGGTTGGGTGGCCTGGTGGTTGGATGGCCTGGTGGTTGGGTGGCCTGGTGGTTGGATGGCCTGGTGGTTGGATGGCCTGGTGGTTGGGTGGCCTGGTGGTTGGATGGCCTGGTGGTTGGGTGGCCTGGTGGTTGGGTGACCTGGTGGTTGGGTGACCTGGTGGTTGGGTGGCCTGGTGGTTGGATGGCCTGGTGGTTGGGTGGCCTGGTGGTTGGGTGGCCTGGTGGTTGGGTGACCTGGTGGTTGGGTGGCCTGGTGGTTGGATGGCCTGGTGGTTGGGTGGCCTGGTGGTTGGGTGGCCTGGTG